TCTGCCCTCCTCTCTGCTTGCCCTCCTCTGCCCTCCTCTCTGCTTGCCCTCATTTCCTCTTCCCTCCTCTCTACTTGCCCTTCTCCCCTCTGCCCTACTCTTTGCTTTCCCTTCTTCCCTCTGCCCTTCTCCCCTCTGCCCTCCTCTCTGCTGCCCTCCTCCCCTCTGCCCTCCTCTCTGCTTGCCCTCCTCCCCTCTCCCCTCCCCTCTGCTTGCCCTCCTGCTTGCCCTCCTCCCCTCTGCCCTCCTTTCTTCTGCCCTCCTCCCCTCCCCCCTCTTCTCTGATTGCCCTCCTCCCCTCCCCCCTCTTCTCTGCTTGCCCTCCTCTCTTCTGCCCTCCTCTCTGCTTGCCCTCCTCCCCTCTTCCCTCCTTCCCTCTGCCCTCCTCTCCTCTGCCTCCTTTCTGCTTGCCCTCCTTCCCTCTGCCCATCTCCCCTCTGCCCTCCTTTCTGCTTGCCCTCCTTCCCTCTGCCCTTCTCCCCTCTGCCCTCCTCTCTGCTTGCCCTCCTCTCCTCTTCCCTCCTCTCTGCTTGCCCTCCTCCCCTCTGCCCTTCTCCTCTCTGCCCTCCTCTCTGCTTGCCCTCCTCTCCTCTGCCCTCCTCTCTGCTTGCCTCCTCTCCTCTGCCCTCCTGTCTGCTTGCCCTCCTCTCCTCTGCCCTCCTCTCTGCTTGCCCTTCTCCCCTCTCCCCTCCCCTCTGCTTGCCCTCCTGCTTGCCCTCCTCCCCTCTGCCCTCCTTTCTTCTGCCCTCCTCCCCTCTTCCCTCCTCTCTGATTGCCCTCCTCTTCTCTGCCCTTCTCTGTGCTTGCCCTCCTCTCTTCTGCCCTCTTCTCTGCTTGTCCTCCTTCCCTCTGCCCTTCTCCCCTCTGCCCTCCTCTCTGCTTGCCCTCCTCTCTGCTTGTCCTTCTCCCCTCTGCCCTCCTCTCTACTTGCCCTCCTCTCTGCTTTCTCTTCTCCCCTCTGCCCTTCTCCCCTCTGCCCTCCTTTCCTCTGCCCTCCTCTCTGCTTGCCCTCCTCTCCGCTACCCTCCTCTCTGCTTGCCCTCCTTCCCTCTGCCCTTCTCCCCTCGGCCCTCCACTCTGCTTCCCCTCCTCTCCTCTGCCCTCTCTGCTTGCCCTCCTTCCCTCTGCCCTTCTCCCCTCTGCCCTCCTCTCTGCTTGCCCTCCTTTCCTCTTCCCTCCTCTCTGCTTGCCCTTCTCCCCTCTGCCCTCCTCTCTGCTTGCCCTCCTGCTTGCCCTCCTCCCCTCTGCCCTCTTCTGCTCTCCTCCCCTCTCCCCTCCTCTCTGATTGCCCTCCTCTTCTCTGCCCTTCTCTCTGCTTGCCCTCCTCTCTTCTGCCCTCCTCTCTGCTTGTCCTCCTCCCCTCTTCCCTCCTTCCCTCTTCCCTCCTCTCTTCTGCACTCCTCTGCTCTGCCCTCCTCTCCTCTGCCCTCCTCTCTGCTTGCCTCCTCTCCTCTGCCCTCCTCTCTGCTTGCCCTCCTCCCCTCTGCCCTCCTCTCTGCTTGCCCTCCTGCTTGCCCTCCTCCCCTCTGCCCTCCTTTCTTCTGCCCTCCACCCCTCTCCCCTCCTCTCTGATTGCCCTCCTCTTCTCTGCCCTTCTCACTGCTTGCCCTCCTCTCTGTTTCTCCTGTCCTCTGCCTTCTTTCCCTTTTCCATCCTCCCCTCTGCCCTCCTCCTCCTGTCCTCTGCCCTCCTCTCCTCTGTCCTCCTCTCTGCCTACCCCCTCTCCTCTGCTATCCCATTTGCCCTCCTCTCCTCTTCCCTCCTTTACTCTCCCCTCCTCTCTCCTGCCCTCTTCCTTGCTCATCCTTGGAAGCCACACGCTAGTGTCACCACCCCTTGAAGCCCCCCCCCCCAAGGAGATACAGCATCTTCTGCTCCTCCCAGGCACACAGCATCAGTCTGGGCACAGGTGCTGCCCCAGCCTTCCTGAGCCCAGAGTTTGAGAGCCCAGGGCAGCTGCTGAGGGGGCACAGGGCACCCCTGCCTTTGGGCTGCACCTGGTAGTGCCTGGGGAACCAGGTGGTGCCAGTATCACGCCATTGTGTCAGATACCTGCAAGCCAGACCCTCTCTCCCCTGATGAAGGCAGAAAGCATGGGTGGAAGGTGCTCTGGAGGGCTTCCTGGAAGAGGGGGCGAGAGGGCTGAGCAGAACTGACAGACCTAAAGGGGACAGGAGTCTGAGGGCATGTTTATTATGGCTGGGGTGAGGTCCCTGATGGGGTGCGTCCCAATTGGCTGGGCCCTGTCGAGGGCAGGCGGAGCTACAGGCCATGTCCGGTGGGGTCAGGCCTGGGGTCCCCCATCTACCCCAGCAGGCTCAGAGTTTATATAGGGCCTCCCAAGCTGGACTCATGGCGCCCAGCAGATCAGTTCTGTGTAGGGGCCAAGGAGCTAGCAGGCCTGCCACCCGGATGACAGAGGTCACCCGGGGTGAGGAGACACGCACCCCCATCCTGCCCGAGGCCCCCCGGTACAGGCATGACTGTGAGCCAGGGACTGGACACTGCCCGGCTGTGCGGGCACCCTTGCAGGGGCAAAGGCCACTGAGGAGACGGGCTGGGAGGGTCTCACAACTGGAGACAGTGGTGCCGACGAGGCCATGGAAGCCTGTGCCAGACCCCTTGCCCTCCAAGCAGTGCCAGGAGCCTGAACCTCCCAGGGCTCATGTGCCAACTTGGGTACTCTGAGTCTCATCTCTAAATGCCGGGAGGAGGGCCGAGCTCCCTGCCACCTTCCCTGCCAACGGGCGCCAGGCTACTGCCAGCAGGGGGCGGCAGAGAGCCATGGGTGGCCCGAGGTGCTGCCGGCTGGAAAGCTGGGGCTGGGGACTGGTCAGGACACCCCAGTTCTCAGGATCTGGGCCCAGAGCAAGCAGAGGGAGGCTCCCCGCCCCCAAGAACCCCACTTTCTGACAACTCCGAGCAATTATTGCAACTGTGGGGGCCGCGTGGACGCTCCCAAGTTGGGCCTGGGGGGAGCCAGAGGAGGGCCATCTCTTGGCCCAGCCTCCCAGCTCTGCAGCTGGGGTTCTGGGGTCCCCCAAAGCTGCTGCCGCCACCTGAAGCCATGTGGGAGAGGGCTAGCAGAGATCAGGCCATCAGCTCGTCACGGGCCCCCACGTGCTGGATCCTCAACCTTGCAGGGCCCCGGGTTCCTCCAGGCCACCCTGACAGTCCTCAGAGCCTGCAGTGCAGTGATGGAGCCATTCCTGGCAGGTGCCTTAACCCGTTCCAAGAGCAGCAGGCACAGCCCCGCTAGGGGGCGCCCTGACCCATCGAGACACGAGTCACACACAGCAGGCATCAGAGCAGCTGCAAGGCCAGGGCATGTGGAGACGGGGACCCCGCCCCGCTGGGGGACACCTCTGCCAGTCTGCTCTTCCGTGACACTCAGCTCTGCGCCTGCAGAATGGGGCTGGGAGCCCCCCTGCCCCTCAGACACCACGGCCAAGTGCACTTAAGGCCGACCCTTCGCTTGGCTGAGAGGGGGGCAGCAGGAACACCCAGGCTCCCTGTGGACAGAGGGCCCTGGAGTCCTCTGTGCACTTGCCTTGCATGGGGTCGGCCTAGATTTGATCTTCCAATATAGTTCCCCAAACCCACCAGGGGGATTTCTGGTATATGCCTCCCCCCCGAAAAATAAAAACAGAACCTAAATACATAAAACAGATTATACCTATTTTTGTTGTGTTTTGGGGCCATACCTGTCAGTTCTTGGGGCTCCCTCCAGGCTCTGTGCTCAGGGATCACTCTGGTGACTCTTGGACCGTGTGGGATGTCAGGCACCACGTCCGAGTTGGCCACATGCAACCACGGTCCCCGCTGTCCTGCCCTTCCAGTCCCTGCACCTGGCTCTCGATACCCTTGTAACCACAGCACCGAAAATGCTGGAAACGGCACACGCAGCTCCCAGGGGTCGCGTGCGCGTCTCTGCTCTGCAGCTCTCATGGCAGGAGCCGCGGGCCAGCCTGTGCCTGTGTGTCAGGAAGTGCTGGGAAGTGCTGGGTCAGCCAGCGCTGGAGTCCCAGGAGCCCCCCAGAGCAGCGGCAGCGCCAGTGCTGAGGCCGAGAGCCAGGGGGTGGGGTGGGCCAGTGCCTGCGCGTCTACAGGCCAAGACCCAGGAAGTCGAGAAGGAAGCCGGAGTCCTGGCTCCAGCAGGCATGGAGCCCTCCCAGCCCGTCCACGCCTGCCTTCAGCTGATTGGACAAGGCCCGCCTCCTCTCAGCCCTGTCCCCGCTTGGATGAGACTCACCTGTGAGCCTCACCAGTCCTGGACTCGAATCAATGCTGGAATCGTGCTGGGATAGCCTCATGTGGGGCCATGAGGGGCAGCCCGGTCATTACAGGCCCACCCATTCTGCCACTGACACCTTTTCTTTTATTTTGCTTTTCAGATCATACCCAGCGATGCTCAGGAATTGCTCCTGGCAGTACTCAGGAGACAAATGGGTTGCCAGGGATCGAACCTGGGTCAGCTGCCTGCAAGGCAAACGCCCTACCCGCTGTGCTATGGCTCTGGCCCCTCTGTGAGTAATCATATGCCACGATCACTTGTCCTTTGAGCCACACCCAGTGAAGCTGGGGCTCCTGGCTCCCCCGGGGCCAGCCGGGATGCACTGCGTCTCTGTTCTGCCCACTCCCACCAGCCCTCAGGCTGCTTCTTGGGGGTGCATGTTGGGGTGGCTGAGAATTCAGGCTGGTCCACTCTGGCTGCCCCTAGGCTGTGTCCAGCTCTTCCACACAGGAAGAAGTGGTGTGGCCGAGGCTGGGGGCAGGATACACTCTCCTGCTTGTCCATCAGCCCCAGTGGCCCTGTTGGGGAACAGGTTCGGGGAAAGGAAACCTTGTGTCCTGTCCAGCCACTGCTGCTGGACTGGACTCTCAAGTGGCCTCAGCTCACATCCCTGGTCACTGAGGCTTGTGGCCCGCTCAGCTGCAGTGAGTGGAAAGGCGCGGTCTGGGACACATCACGACACCCCCGAGAGAACCACAGACAAGTTTAGCAAAGTCTGGATGCCTGTCAGCACCACTTTTATTGTAAATCAATTAACAAAAAAGATGAAAAAAAAAATACATCATTCTCCTCACCTACAGTTCTGCATGAAGACAACCTCTGTAAAAAGTCCCCGTTTCCTGTAAACTACTTGGGCCATGCCAGAACATCTGCGCCCCAGCACACAGCTCAGATTTTTTAAACAAAATCCACCTTGGAAATGTATTTACAGACATTTACTTACTCTGCCACAGGCTTATACTCGACATTGCAAGATTCTGCTCCTCCCGAAGACCAGGGTCCCCCTAAACCAGGAGGGGGACCCAGAATATGCCCTGGCACCCAACACCCCACGTCCACCGGGCACCCGGTGGGTGCGGTGGGAGGGACAGAGCCTTGTTTTCTCAAAACCTCCATGAGAGTGCTCCGGAGTCCCCTGGAGCCCCGGCCCTGGCCCTGGCCCGCCCTCTCACCAGACAGAGGCTTACACCAGCAGGTGGGGGCGGGGACGCAGGACTTTCTGGAGGCACAACATGCGCAGGGTCCGTGAACCCCCAGCTAACACTGAACCTGAAAGTAAGATTCATGATTGGTACCACGTGACGTGCTCCTGGGCACCCAAGAACACTGGCCAAGCTCCCATAACAGCCGTAACGAGCCTGACAGGCGGCCCCGACTTTTCACTTGCTTCTTCTCAATGCACGTCATGCCACAGTCAAAGGTGACATCACACCCTCTCCGCCCTGCGTCGGAGCTTCCCGGACAGCGGTTCAGCTTCCTGTCTCCAACATTGTGTCTTTTTGGAGTTTGGAACAGTATCAATAAATAAATGGCATTCGGCAATCTCGGATCTTCGCTATTTTACAAACTCTTAAGAATCTCTGCCCAAGAGCCCGCCCGGTGCCACAGCAAACAGCCGCATAAATAAGGAGGCAGCACATCAAACCAAAGTACATAAATAAATACTAAAAAAAGTCCTCTTCTTTTGTATAAAAACTTTTTTTTCTTCTTTTTCCTTTTTTACAAAAGCTCCTTTGGTGGGCCAGGCAGCAGCACGCGGCCTGGGAAAGGAAGCGCAGCGGGCGCGGTTGTTTACTTGAAGGCCTCGGGAATGTGCGGCATCTGGGCGTGCGTGCTGGTGGGCGGGCTGGAGATGCCCTCGGACCAATCGGAGATGTTGGAGTGCGGCGAGGAGCTGGACCACTGGTCGGGGGACTCGGGGGACGGGGTGAGGAAGGGGTGCTCGGGCACCTGCAGCTGGTGGCTGGGGGTGCCGTCCACGGGCGAGGAGTAGCTGTGCTGGGAGGGCGGTGTAAGGAACTGCGCCGTGGTCATGGGCGGGGCCAGGCCCTGGGGGTCCTGCGGCAGCACCGTGTGCGCCTGCAGGTTGCCAGGGCCCAGCGGCTGCCCATCCGCCTGGCTGGGCTCCCCGCCCAGGAACCCGCGGCCCAGGTGGCTGCTGCTGGCGGGTGTGACGCTGAGCTGCGGCTGCAGGCCCGGCTGCGGCATCTGTAAGCTGGGCTGCGCCGGCGCCTGCTGGAGTGGCTGCGCAGGCACCAGGTGGGGCTGCGGGGCCAGGCGCGCGCCGGGCAGGGCCTGGTAGCTCACCATCTGCGACAGGGCACTGGCCGAGAGGCCGCCATGCAGGGGACCCATCATGCTGTGCTGCAGCGTGGGGGCCTGCACGCCCAGGGGGCTGGGGGCCACGGCTCCCCGCAACGCGCCATACTGGCCGGGCACAAGCCCGTTCTGCAGCCGCGAGAGCCACTCACACTGGCCGCCCAAGCCGGCAGCACCGCCCAGGGTGAAACTCATGGCCGTGCCGCTGCCCCCGCCCAGAGCCGGGCCGGTGCCCGAGGCCACGGGCAGGTGGGACAGGCGGGGCGGGCCCGCCTCGAAGGCCAGCCGGCCGCTGCCGCCCAGCGTGGCCATCTCGGGCTTGGCTGCCACGCCCAGGTGGCCGAGGCCCAGGTGAGTGTCGGGCATGCCGGGCAGGTGGTTGAGAGGCATAGACGGCGACGCCTGGAACGGGGAAGGCAGGAGGGGCGGAGAGGCCACGTCCGACAGGTAGCCGTGCGGGGACTCGAGGGAGTCAACGGGCGAGAGCACGTTGGACGTGTCCAGCAGGCAGCCCTTGCCGTCCTGGGGTTTCTTCCTGCGGGCCTTCAGCTCCTTGGCGTCCTTGCCTCCGCACGCCAGGCCCTTGGTGCTGGGCTTGCGCGCCTTCTTCCCTGGCGGGGCAGCCTTGAGGTTGCCCAGGTAGCCGTTGGGCGAGCAGAGTGGGGGCGACAGGGCAGGTGGCCCGGGCAGCGGTGGGCTGCGCACCAGGCTGTACTCGTCCAGCAGCTGCACAATGTCATGGTGCATGCGCTCCTGTGCCACGTCGCGTGGCAGCCGGTCCATGTGGTCCGTGATGTCCCGGTTGGCGAAGTGGTCCAGCAGCACCTTGGCAGTCTCATAGCTGCCCTCCCGGGCGGCCAGGAACAGCGGTGTCTCCTCCTGCGGTGGCCAGTGGGGAGTCAGACCCAGACCCGCCGCCTCCCTGTACTCTGGTCCACGCCTGGGGTGCTCAGGGGACCCTCCATGGTACCAGGGTGTCGAACCCGAGTCAGCCACGTGCAAGACGAATGCCCTGCCCCCCACTCCGTCCAGCCTAGACGTGAAGCGTTTGCCTGTTTGGTTCTGGGGCCACCCCCAGGGGAGCTTGGGGCTTCTCCTAGGGTGTCCAGGGCACTCAGCATCGCGGGGACCACACGAGGGCCTGGGGGTGCAGGCAAGAGCCTGAGCTCCAAACTCTCTCCAACCGCTCGTCTCTTAATGACACCCCGAGAACCGAGACACAGGGCAGGGCTTCTGACTGGGCACGCAGCTGGCGCGGGCTCGACCCCAACACCACGAGGGTCCCTGAGCACTTCTGGGAGTGGCCCCAAACCCAAAAGATCAAATAAAACAAGGATCCACTACGGCCTCTCCTCCGTCCAACTGTACAGGGGTATGGAAACCAAGCATCCAATAAAACCCAGACCCGGGACGCAGCCAGCGCCCCCACACTGGTCACAGCGCCAGTGGCGCCCAGGGTCTCCCACGCACCTTGTTGCTCTGCATGTCCTTGTTAGCGCCATTCTTTAGCAGCACAACCGCCGCATCCACATTGTTCACAGCGGCTGCCCAGTGCAGGGCGGACTTGCCTGGGGGCAGAGGGGAGGTTGGGGGCACGTCAGGCAGCAACTTCCTCCCCGCACTGCCACAGCCTGGCAGCAGCCCTGCCTGCACCCCCCACCCCTGCAGCAGCCCCTGCCCGCACCCCCTTACCCCTGCAGCAGCTCCTGCCCATACCCCTACACCCCCCACCCCTGTAGCAGCCCCTGCCCGCACCCCCACCACTCACCCAGGTCGTCAACAGCGTTGACGTCGGCATGTGAGTTGATGAGGTCCTCCAGCATGCCCTCCACTGCCAGGCGGGCGGCCAGGATGAGTGGGGTCGTGCCATCATGCATGCGGGCATCCAGGTCTGTGGCCCGGTTCCGGATCAGAATCTAGGTGAAGAGGAACGCAGGAGTAGCCAAGGCTCCCGGCCATCTTGTGGGACCCAGTTTGAGAGGCCTGTGGGCCCAGGCAGGCACAGGAGGAGCCAGGCAGAACCAGGACTCCACCAGCCGCAGCTGGAGGGCAACCTTCCCAGGGCCTCCCCCAGGACACAGGGGACAAAGCTCGGCCAGCTGGGGAGGCTTCTGAAAGCCTGCTCCTGCGGCCAGTGCCCCCCTGAGGGCTGGCAGCTGGGGGAGCCCGGCCAGGGCATGGGCTGCAGGAGGAGGGAAGTCCACGGGCCGCCCACAGAGGGTCTGCCACTGCCACGGGCACGCTGTCCCGTGGAGCCAGGGCCCAGCGCGGGGAGCAGCGGCGGCTGGTGCAAGGACCCCAAGCGGCAAGAGCTGCAGCCTCCCGCCCTCACTGCCCCGGGCTATGCCTCAGGCCAGGGCTGCGCAGGTGCTTAGGGGAAGGAGGGGTGTGCGCCAGCCAGGAAGCTGAGGAGGCTGAGCCTGTTTAGCACCCAGAGGTGGGGTGGCAGCAGCACTGGAGGGGGGCGCTGCCCACCTGGAAGACGCCCTGGGCATCAGCAGACACGGCAGCGTGCAGCGGGGTCCGGCCCATGTGGTCCTGGATGTTGGCGTCCGCGCTGGCCTCCAGCAGGCGCTTGGCAGCGTCGGAGCGCGAGTAGCGGGCAGCCAGGTGCAGGGCCGTCTCCCCGGTGCGGTCGGTCTGGCTATGCAGGCTGGCGCCCTGGTAGATGAAGTCCGAGATGACGGCTGGAGCGTCCTCCTCCTCCTCGCTGTGGCCCGTCTCCAGGCCCCCTCCACTGCAGGAGGCGATCATGAGGGGCGTGAAGCCATCTGTGGGGGGACAGGCAGCGGGCTCCGTCAGGAAGGACGGGTGGGCAGCTGGGGCGCTAACCAACCGGATACCACCCGACACCCCGAAGGAAAGCGTTTACATGCTACAAACAGAACCGGAGATGGGACCACGGGGAAGCAACTAGACAGGGAATCCCAAGCACCCCCACTCTACCGGAAATGCCCCACGGACAAAAGCCTTCCTTACTCCCCGTGGTAAGCTTCCAGAACATTTTGGAACATACCTGGGGACTTAGGGGAGAGTGCGAGGCAGAGCATGGGGGTGGGAAGTGCCCGGGACAGTGCGGGGTCAGAGGCACTTACCTGGCCCCCGGACATTGACATCCATGCAGTCGGCGTCAGCCTCGCCTTGGGGTGGCGTGGGTGCCATGGCCGACACACGCAGATCAGCCGCGTCCAGGTGCTGCTGTGTCCATTGACGGTGGTCGGTCTGCTCGTCCAGGTCTGGAAGGACCACTGGCTCCTCGAACTGAGGACACGTGTGGACTGTCACAGGGCTGGGGGGCCCTGGGGGGGTACCCGGAGGGAGGAAGCCCCCAGAGCAGGTGCCAGGAAGAGCCCGGGCGGCACCAACTCACCCGGAACTTCTTGGTCTCCAAGTCCCCGTCAGCCCACTCGTTCTGGTTGTCGTCCATCAGCGCTCCGTCGGAGGCGTTCTTCAAGGGCCTGGGCGGGGGTGGCAGGAAGGAGGCTCAGCAGGACCCAGAGCACCCCAGGATTAGAGGCCAGTGGTGCTGCTGGGACGCGCAGGGCATCACGGTGCCCCCCCCACCCCCCGTGGCGGCGGCGGCCACTCACTTGAGGCCCACGGAGTCCTCGCCCAGGGGCTCCCGCCGCTTCTTCTTGCCGGCCTCCGACACCTTGAAGCCCTCAGGGAACCAGAGCTGGCCATGCTGGCGTCGGCGCTTGCGGGACAGCAGAACCCCGCAGCCCACAAAGAAGAGCAGCAGGGAGGCGGCCACGGCCACGTACATGAAGTGCAGCTGCGGGGGCGGCGGCGGTGCAACCGTCTCACCTGCGGGCACACAGGCCACAGGCGGGCATCAGGAGCGGCACTGGCGGCCAGGGGCAGCGCTCTGGCTTGGCGGCCGGGCGCCCGTTCACCCGCGCCTCCATCCCGCCCCCCAAAATAAGGTCATTTTCTATGCGCTTCATCAGAATTGCAAACTACAGCTAAATTCTCTCCTGCACGCCGACTGTCTGGAGACGGCCTTCACTTTCCTCCGTTAAGGGAGGGGGATTAACCAACTTCAAATCACTGCGCTCACAGTGAGCTGTTAAGACAAAGGATTTAGGGGGATTTTCAAGATACAAACTTCAACACTTCACATGACACCGATCAATTCTTCTCTCTCTCTCTCTCTCATTTAAAAAAAAAAAAGAGCTGTAATGATTTTGAAATAATACCCAACAAAGGAAATCCAGGGGGAAGGGGTGGGAGAGAAAACAGCTCCCGCTTCCTGCTGGCCAAGAGGCCGGGCACTGCAGGGCAGGAGGGTGCCAAGAAGAAAATTCCAGAAAAGTGCTTCCCACTCAGGGCATGAGGACCAGCCGGCAGTCAGCAGGGCCACGAGGGAAGGAGTATGGGCTGGAGACGAGACCCAGGGCCCAGGGCCCGGGGCCCGGGAGGGGTACTCACTCTGCACGGCCTCGATCTTGTAGGGGATGTTGAGGCTGCCCAGAGAGGCGAGCGCCCCCAGGAAGGCAGCCACATCGGCAGCACTCTGGAAGCACTGGGACGACGAGAGTGCACACTGCCGGTTGTCGATCTCCAGGTACACGATGGAGCTGGGGAGACAGCTGGTCAGGTGGGGCTCCCCACCCAAGGCCCCCATGAGTGCCCCACACTCCACCACAACATTCCCCGCTGTGCAGAGACTCAGTTTCCCTGAGAAAGCTGCCGGCAAGCTGTGTCTGACCCCCATGTGGGCAGCTCTCCGGACAGGGGACGGCTTCTGGGACACCCCGGGAACAGAATGTGGACCACTCACCCACGGATGTCCATGGGGTCCAGCTCCCGGCGCCAGCGTGAGCCCTGGTTGCCCGAGAGCAGCGTTGGCCAGCCGCCCGTGCTGTCCACTGAGCGCTTGATGGGGTGTTTGCGGAGCTCCTCCTCGTGGCCATAGTAGGGGAAGATCATGTGTTGGCCATTGGCGTCACGCTTGAAGACCACGTTGGTGTGCAGCAGGCGGCTCAGCTCCCGCAGGAAGTGCAGGGAGTGGTTGCGAAGCTGGTCCGGGGGCACCAGCACCACCAACACCAGGGTGCCCACAGCCAGGCGCTCAGGCACGTGCCCGGCACAGTCTAGTCCATCCCACTCACACTCAGCGCTGTTGCAGCCCTGGTCACAGTGGCCGTCACTGAAGTGGTCCCTGCAGTACTGGTCGTAGAGGGGGCTGTGGGGAGCGGCACATCACGAACACTGCACAGCGTCTAGCCCTGCCTGCAGCCCTGCCCTCGCAAGGCCCCGCCCACTCACTGTGGTTAGTGTGAGGCCCCGCCCACTGAACTGAGGTTACCACGGGCCCCAGAGCCTTACTTGCACTGGCCCTCAGCACGCTGACAGTCGAAGCCATCAAATAGGCAGCCAGCCGAGTTGCACTGGGCATCGCAGCGGCCGTCGCTGAAGTACTTCCAGCACTGCAGGGCCTGGGAGCAGTTCTGCCAGGGGTCGTTGAAGTTGAGCGAGCAGTCGCCGCCGTCCCAGCCACAGGCATGGTTGTTGCAGGGCGCGCTGCACACCTTGTTCCCTGCCTCCTCTTGGCACGCGGGGAGTTCGCAGGCCTCGGCTACTTGCGGTGGGGCGATGTCGCGCCCGGCGCCACCCCCAAAGCTGTAGTCCAGGATGTGGCACAGGAGCCCGTTGAACTTGGGTGGACACAGGCAGCGGTAGAAGGGGCTCTCGGTCGTGGGCTCACAGCTCCCCTGGTTGTAGCAGGGGTTTCTGCCCTCGCAGGGGCTGCTGGCCGGGAACTGGCACTCGGGCCCGGTGAAGGTGCCCAGGCACAGGCAGGTGGGGCTACGCGGGCCCGAGACGCAGGTGCCCCCGTTGAGGCAGCGCAGGCTGCCGCAGGCACGAGCGTCGTTCTCACAGGTAGCGCCCTCAAAGCCCTGCAGGAGGCAGGGACAGGGCGTCAGGGGCCGGGAGAAACACCCTCGCCCAGCTGGGCAGCACAACCTTTTGTAGAGAAACGGGGCCGGGTGCCCGGCTGCACGGAGCAGGCGAAGTTCGAGCCTGCTGGGTTTGGCCCCGAAACCGAAAAAGCCTCAAGGAAACACTCTGCCAACAGTTACAGGTTCAAGTGTCCCCGGTGGGTGTGAGAGCGGGGCCACAAGCAGACAGGGCCCAAAGGTCCTGGTGGGACCAGAAGCCGGGTCTCTCCAGAGGCAGACACAGGACCCAGCTCAGGCACACTGTCAGCACTGCCCATGGGTGACAAGGACCTCCCTGAACAGGGTGCCTGCAGGTGCCAGGGTGCAGGGGAGCTCCGGACGCTGGAAACTTGAAATTGTCCGTCAGGAAGACCTGGATGGCATTGACTGGACAAAGCCCTGCAAGACCTTCTCTCCCACCCTGGACCTGGGAGCCACTGACTGCCGAGAGCACCTACCGGTGGGCACTTGCAGATGAATCCACGAACGGTGTTGGAGGCCACAGCGCAAGAGCCTCCGTTCTTGCAGGGCCTGCCCCTGCAGCCATCAATGACAGACTCACAGCGTCGCCCTGGGAGAAGAGCGGGCAGGAAGGCCAGCATGAGGGTCTGCGACTTTATCCCGAGGTAGCCCCGCGCCAGGAGGGACCGCCCCCTCTCCTGGCTCCACCCACAGCCCCGCCCTCAGTCCACCCCGCCCGTTGCCCCGCCCACCAGTGTGGCCGGCGCGGCACTCGCAGTGGAAGTCGTTGACTCGCTGCACACAGTTCTGGGTGCCACGGGCATCGCAGGGATTGGACAGACACTCGTTGACGTCCCCTTCACAGCGCTCGCCCACGAAGCCAGGAGGGCAGGTGCAGCTGTAGCCCCCGACTCGGTCCACACAGGTGCCATTGTTGAAACACTTGGGGCCCCGGGTCACTGGGTCCAGTGGCGGATGACAGTCGTCAATGTTGATCTCACAGTGCACGCCTGCGGGCCGGGACGGGCTTGTCAGCCAGCCTCTCCCTGGGAGCAGGAGCGCTGCCCCAGAGGCCTGCCTCCCTCCCAGCCCCCGCACAGGGCCTGGCCTTACCCTGGGTGCCGCGGGGGCAGGAGCACTTGTAGGTGTTGACAAGGTCAAGACAGGTGCCTCCATTCTGGCACGGGTGGGACAGGCATTCATTGACCTCCTCGGAACAGTTCACCCCGTGGTAGCCGGGCACGCACTGAGCAGGGGCAGACGGCTGGGTTAAGGGTCACCAGGGCAGGCCAGCAGCTGCAACGCTTCCCGCAGCCCCTTGAGGCCGGCGTCCCTCAGGCCCGTCCCACCTGGAGGGAGGCCCCCCACCCTCCACCCCCGGCCAGCGAGAATGAGTCCAGAAAGGGGAGGCAGTGTGCGGGGGGTGCTGGCCGTGGGGTGGGTATGGCTGGGGCCCCCCGGACACTGCCTGCGGTGCCTCAGCTCCCGGGTATGCCTCTCCACGGCCCCCGACGGCCCCGGCTGCAGCCCCGGGCCCTGGGCAGGACGAATGCCCACCTTGCAGGAGTAGCCACCGGGGTAGTCGGTGCAGGTGGCGCCATTGTGGCAGGGGCTGGGCGAGCACTCGTCCACCTGGTCCTCGCAGTAGCTGCCAGTGTAGCCGGCCTGGCAGCGGCAGTGGTGGGTGCTGCTGTCATTGACGCAGAAGCCACCGTTCCGGCACAGCTGGGTGACGTTGACGTCTGGGGGCGGGCAAGTGTGAGGCGGGCCCCGGGGAGCCCCCGCCGCCTCCCGCCTGGACAGTCGCTCACCTCGCCGGCGCGCAGCCTCCTCGCAGGACACGCCCGGCACATCGCACCGGAGTCCCGTCCAGCCGGGCCGGCACTCACAGCGGAACTGCGTATGCGTCTGCCAGCAGCGGCCGCCATTCTTGCAGGGTGAGGAGTCGCACCAGCGCACCAGGTTCTGGGGCACACATGAGCACTGTGTTCACTCCCTGCCCCCACCGCAGCAAGGTTCCCAGATGTCGCGCTGCCCACCCCCGGCAGGCTCCCGCTCACCTGGCAGTTGAGGCCGGTGTAACCCTGGGGGCAGGTGCACTTGTAGGCGCCGTAACTGTCCTGGCAGGTGCCGCCGTGCAGGCAGGGCCGCGAGTCACACTCGTTGACGTCGTGTTGGCAGTAGCTGCCCGTGAAGCCGGGTGGGCACAGGCAGGTGAAGGCGTTGATGCCGTCCACACAGGTGCCGCCATTGAAGCAGGAGCTGGGCGGCAGTGGGCGGGACAGTGAGGTGTGGGCCCGATACTGCCTGAGCGGCCCCTCAACCCGAGCGGTGGGGGGCACAGCAGGCGGCACCCGGCAGGCCGCGGGCAATGCTGGGTTGGCAAGTGCCTCGCCCGTGACGCTGTCACCGGGGGGACCCAAACCCACATCTGCAATACGGCCAACAGTTATGTCAGAAACCAAGAACAAGGACATTTACCACTGGACTTCCTGGCAGCAGAGGCAAAAAGGGTACCCGACGGACCGAGGGCCTTGCTGCCCGACTGCCCCAGCTACACTACGGGCGACGCGAGGGGCAGTGGCCAGCACCGACGGCCGTCAGGGCTGGGACTCTGGGCCAGCCAGGCCGGGGGGCCGCACACACCTCTCCGTGCAGTCGGGAGTGTTGTTCTCGCAGTGGATCCCGCTGAACCCTGGGGGGCAGGTGCAGGTGTAGCTGTCCACGCAGTCCGTGCAGTTGGCGCCGTGCAGGCAGGGGCTGCTGGCGCACTCATCGATGTCCTCCTCACAGAAGGGGCCCCGGAAGCCGGGCAGGCAGGCGCAGGAGGCCGTGTTGACCCCATCCATGCAGGAGCCGCCATTGTGACAGGGGTCTGGGAGGGCACAGGAGGGCATGCCTGAGGGGGGCCCGGCTCTGCTCCGCACAGCTCGCCCCCCAGCGCCAGGGTCACACACAGGTGACACACCAAGATGGTCCTCCCCACCTGGGGCCTCTGAACACTGTGACCCTCCTGGCCTGTACTCTGCGGCTGGCACAAGGCCACAAAGAGCCACAGGGACTGGACCCAGCTCTACACTGTGGGAGCAGCTGAGACGACTCTGGAACTTTCTGGAACCACTGAGAACAGCCTTGGCTGTCCAAGCCAGGTCCACAGTGACGCTGGGTGGGAGCATCAGCTATGGGCACTGCCCCTATAGACTGGGCCTGCAGGCCGGCACTGTGGGGCAGCTGTGATGCCAACACTGCAGGAAAAGGCAGGGGTGGGGGGTGGAGGGGGTGCAGGGAGAGGCAAGGGTGAGGGCAGAGGTATATAGGGAGAGGCAGGGATGGGGACTGGCCCCGCAGAAGGGGTGTAGGGAGAGGCAGGGGTGGGGCTGGCCCTGAGGAGGGGATGCAGGGAGAGGCAGGGCCGGGGCGGGCAGGGGTGCAGCTGCGGGCAGGGCATGGTACTCACTGGGCCGGCAGTCATCCACATCCTGCTCGCAGTGGCGGCCACTGTATCCAGGGCGGCAGTGGCAGCGGTAGCCCCCACGCGTGTTCTGGCAGGAGGCGCCATGGCGGCACGGGCTCTTCACGCACTCGTTGATGTCGATCTCACATGTTTGCCCTGGGGTGGGGGGGTAGCTCAGCGCCGGGACCTGGGGGTTCCCGTCAGCCTGGCACCGGGGCCCAGTCCCCTGCGCCCCTGCTGCCCACTGGTCTCACCTTGCCAGCCCGCAGGGCACGCACAAGAGAAGCTCTCGTAGTCCTCGGACTCCTGGCACTGGCCGCCGTTCCTGCAGGGGTCGGGGGCACACGGGGCCAGCACCACCTCACAGGTGACTCCTGAGGGGGGCATGGCAGGTGAGAGACAGGACCAGCGTGCCCCAGCCCACCAGGCGCTCCCGCACAGCTTCTGGCCCACCCACTGTGGGCTCCCGGGCACCAGAACCCGAGGGAGGGGGCACCGCCTGTGTGGGGCTGAACTCCGGGGGCCTCGAGAGGCAGCTACTGTGCCAGGGCAGGGAGGTGCCAGCCTCAGGGCGTGCAGGGGCTGGCACTGTGGGGGGCTGGCGGCAGGTTCGACTGAGCTCCTTCTGGAGCCTGATAGGGTTTCCTGTTTACAGCCAGGGGTGGGGAGGGGGGACTGGCAATCTGGGAAGCGCTATCTTCCACCTCCCCCACTATCTGCTGGCCGCTGGCGCCAGGTCCCAGGGCTGTTCCTTCTATCGGTTTCCAGGGTAACCTGGCCTGCAGGAAATTCGCCAGCATTTCCGACAATTGTGTTAAGGGAAGTGGGAAACGGACAGGCGGGCGGAAGCGGGTCAGGGCCAGCTCCTCCCGGCCAGGCCCTGCAGCCTCCGCTCCAAGTGGGGGGAGCTTCCTCACAGACGCAGGAGAGAGCCCAGGTCCCGCATGTGGGTCAGAGAAAACAGGTTCAGGGCAGGGCCCAGCCAGGCCGCACTCACTCTCTCCCGCCCCCAGGCTGGGAACCAAGGCGAACCTCTCTGCTGAAGTGACCTCCTGGGCAAAGGGCAGCGCCGCCCCCTCCCCCAGGCACACGTGCACACATGCTTACAAGCACACACGCGCACACATTCACATGTGCATGCAAACACACATGCACATACCCACGTGCACATGCACGCTTACACACACATGCTTACACATGCTACATCACACACATGCTCATACGCATATTCACACGCATGCACATGATGCACATAGTGGGGACAAAAATCTCCCTGTTCCCCACAGAAAAATTCGCTGCCGGCCAGCGGGTGGGGCAGGCGTCTCGCCTCGGAAGCCACAGCAGCACGAACAACCTGCCACTGAGGGCGCCCCACGCCTCCACAGCCTCGGCCCAGAGAGCACTAAGGTCCCAATCAGACCCCTAACGCCATCCAGGCAGCACCTGCTGGCCAGATGCTCGGACCGACACCTGTGACATCTGAGAGGCCGGAGGCACGGCAGGTGCACTGGGGGCCTTGGGTCCAGTTCCACCCACCCACGAGGCTTAGCCCACCCAGGAAGCCCCGCCCCGGCACACGAGGGCCCCCACCTGTGTAGGGCAGCGGGCAGTTGCACTTGTAGCCGGCCACGTCGTCCATGCACGTGCCTTGGTTCAGACACGGGTTGGAGGCACACTCGTTGATGTTGGTCTGGCAGTTGGGGCCTGGGGAGAGGGGCCTGGTGGGTCAGCCGGGCTGGCAGCCCAGGGAACTGGCCATGCTCCCCAACGCGTCACAGCCCGGTGCTGCCCACTCACCACTGAAGCCCCCGCGGCAGGCACAGGCATAGCCGCCACTCAGATCCCTACAGGTGCCACCATTGGCACAGGGGTTGGACTCGCACTCATTGTTGTTGAAGTCACAGTTGGTGCCGCTCCAGCCTGGGTCACAGTCACACCGGTACCTGCACGGACGAGCCGGGCACTCAGGGTCACAGTGGCCGAGGGGACGAGGCAGGAGCCCCAGCAGCGGGCACACACCCAGTCAGTCCTGGACACACCCTCCCACAGCACCCATGGACAGCCATGCCCAGGGAGGGCAAGCCCACACCCACACTCGCCACACCTATGGCCTCCCAGTACCAAGAGAGCCTGAGCTGACCAGAGAGAGCCCAGGGCAGGCATGGGCGGGAGTGGGCGCTCGGTCAGGGGTCCCCAGGGACAGGGCGGGCGCTCGTTCGGGGGTTCCTACCCATTGAGGCCATCCCGGCAGGTCCCGTGGATGCAGGGGTCACTGCTGCACTCATTCACCTCCGACAGGCACGTGGGGCCATGGAAGCCCTCGGGGCAGTGGCAGATGAAGCTGTTGATGGCGTCCACACAGGTGCCCCCATGGTGGCAGGGCTTGGCCGCACACTCGTCAATGTCGATGTTACACATATTCCCTGTGGGGACGAGGGCACTCAGGGGCAGCAGCCACGTTTCGCAAGCCTCCGGTTCCCCTGCGCAGGCCTGGTTCCACGACAAGTGGGCACTCCAGGTGGGGGCAGGACCTGCAGCACCCTACCGGCAGCACAGGTCACAGGGCTGGGGGCAGGAATGCTGCGGGAAACAGCTCAGGCCTGGGCGGCAGGCAGGGGGTGCCCCAGGGAGTGAGGCAGGGGGTGCACCAGGCAATGAGGCTGGGGGTGCCCTAGAGAGCGAGGCTGGAGGTGTCCCAGACAGCGAGTCAGGGGGTGCCCTAAGCAATGAGGCTGGGGGTGCCCCAGGGAATGAGGCAGGGGGTGCCCCAAGCGCAAGTCAAGGGTGCCCCAAGCAGCAAGTCGGGGGTGCCCCAGGCACAAAGCTGGGTGTGGCATCAGCCCAAGGCCACCCATAGGTCATCATCCTCGTGCCCAGAGCATGGCCAGCACTCACCTGTGTACCCTGGTGCACAAGCACACTCGTACCCATCGATCTTGTCCACACAGGTGCCTGAGGCACAGGGGCTGCTGGCACAATCGTCCAGGTTGATCTCACAGTTGGGGCCTGGGGGGAGCATGGGGTCAGCTCCCAGGCCATGTGTGATCCCCGAGAGGAAGCCCCGCGCCCCCGCCCGGCCCCACACCTGTGGTCCCCGGCAGGCAGAGGCACAGGTAGGCGTTGTCACGGTCCTGGCAGGTGCCCCCGTGGCGGCACGGCTGGCTGTGGCACTCGTTGATGTTGGCCTCGCAGTGATGGCCCGTATAGCCCGGCCGGCACAGGCAGGTGAAGGCAGCCACCCCATCCTTGCATGTGCCGTAGTGACAGGGATCTGGGTCACACTCATTGATGTCCACCTCACAGTGGGGCCCCGTATAGCCTGGAGAGGAGGGGCAGCAAGCTCAGCTGGCTGTCCCCAACCCCGGCTGACCCCCAGCCACACCCGCCTCGACCTCGCACCCTCGGTGCACACGCAGCTATAGGTGTTGGGTCCGTCCAGGCACTTGGCGCCGTTCTCACAAGGGGTGCTGGCACACTCGTCCACATCATGCTGGCACAAGTGTCCGGTGAAGCCTGCAGTGCCCAGGGACAGCGGTCAGACAGGAGGTGTCCAGGGGAGACAGCAGTGGGTGGCCCCCACCTCCCACTCCTCAACCACCACCCACCAGACCAGCCTTCCCCAGACAGACATGGTTGCTATGGTGACGGCCTAGTCGGCTGCAAGAGGCAGCACAGACACCGTCCGGGGCCCAGCCTCCAGCCCCTGAACCCCTGACAGCCCAGGGCCCAGCCCCCAAAACTCTGACAGCCCAGCCCCCAGCCCCAGCCCTCAGCCCCTGAACCCCTGATAGCCCAGCCCCCAGCCCAAAACCCTGACACAGCCCGGGGCCTAGCCCCCAGCCCCCGAACCCCTGACAACCCAGGGCATAGCCCCAGGCCCTGAACTCCGACACAGCCTGGGTCCAGCTCTCAACCCCCGAACCCGACAGCCCAGCCCCCAACCTCAAGCCCCTGACAGCCCGGGGCCCAGCCCCCGAACCCCTGCCAGCCCAGCCCCCAGCCCCCAAACCCCGACACAGCCTGGGCCCAGCCCTCTGCCCCCAGCCCCAAACACCGACACAGCCCGGGGCCTAGCCCCCAGCCCCCGAACTCCTGACAGCCCAGGGCCTAGCCCCAGCCCCGAAACCCCTGACAACTCAGGGCCCAGCCCCCAGCCCCAAAACCCAACACAGCCCAGGGCCCTTCCCCCCCACAAAGCTCCAGTCTCTGCAGCCCTCCCTTTCAGTTCCTGGGGCTCACAGGCAGCTGGCAGCAGTAGGGCTCCCTCCCCGCCCATGGGGACCATCTGCCCCGGGGATCCATTCTCTGGGGGCCCCAAGGAGGCCCCCCGGGAGAACAGAGCCACCAGCATGAGGCCAGGGTCCACCAGGAAGGCCAGAACCAGGCCCCACACTCCAGCTCTGCTCCCAAGGGTCCCTCCCAGACACACGTGGATGATACCTCCCCTCACCCCTGCAATACTTGCATCCCTGCACTCCTGAGTCACCCCCAAACCTCCCGCACCCACTGCTGCACAGCAGCTCAGCAATAAGGCACCCCTGCGCACTCCCCGTTCAATGGTATAGCACCCTCCACCCCTGTGTACTCACCGGTGGGGCACTCGCACAGGAACTCGTTGATCTTGTCCACACAGCGGCCATTCTGCAGGCAGGGGCTGCTGGCACACTCATCCGTGTTTACTTCGCAGTGTACGCCCTCATAGCCTGGGAGGTAAGGTGGGGCGAATGAGGGGTGCGGGGACCAGAAGCAGCCCCCCAGGGACCGCTCACTGCAGGCTCTGAACGGAGGAGCTGCTGTGTCCCGCGACCCAGGCCCAGAGCAGAGACCAAGGGCCCAGGAGCCCACAGCCCGGAAACCAGGGGGACGCACCGGGCATGCAGATGCACTGGAACTCTCCGATCTGGTCCAGGCAGGTGGCATCGTTCTGACACGGGCTGGACACGCACTCGTTGACGTCCACCTCACAGCGTGGGCCACTGTAGCCCTGCAGACACTGGCACTCGAACGAGCCCAGAGTGTTCATGCACTTGCCGGCATGCTCACAGGGGTTGGCACCTGCAGCAGGGAGGCCGGCACTGAAGCCTGCATGGGACTGGGGCCCTCTTAGGGCCCCCGGCCTTCCCAGTAGCTTCTGGCCCACCACCCTATGCAGATGCACGCACATACATGCACACTTGTGCACAAGCATGCACACAACACGCAGTGACACACACGCACACAAATGCATGCACGCACACACAGGCATGCACACAATGTGCGTAACTATGCGCGCACACACCCACTCACGCACCCGTACCCAGGGAGCACTCATCCACGTCCTGGCTGCAGGCGGGGCCTGTGTACCCCGAGGGGCAGGTGCAGATGGCCTTGCCATTGACGGGATTGGTGTCGCAGTCGGAGCCCTCATTGCAGGGGTCGCTGATGCAGGCGTCGTTGAGGTGGCACAGCAGGCCTGATGCACGGAAGGCCATCAGCGGGGCTCAGCGGGGCTCCCCGGAACCTGCCGTGCCCCACCCGCCAGCCCTGGGCCCACCTGTGCTTCCATGCGGGCATTCGCAGTAGAAGGAGGCCACGCGGTCGTGGCAGGTGGCCCCGCTGTAGCAGGCAGCGCTGGCGCAGTCGTCGATGTTCTCGCTGCAGTCCTCGCCCGTCCACCCGTTGACGCACACACAGTTGTAGCCGCCATGTGTGTTGTGGCAGGTGCCACCGTTCTGGCAGGCGTTGGGCATCAGCTGGCACTCGTCCACATCCTCAGTGCAGTATTGGCCTGGGGGGCGTCGGCAGGTGGGCCCGAGCCCCCGCCCACAAGCCCAGCTCCTCCCACAGCCCCGCCCACTCACCTGTCCACTCCGGCGGACAGCGGCAGTTGTAGGTGTTGACGCCGTCCACACAGGTGCCCCCGTTCCTGCAGCTATTCCCCGGACAGTCATCGACGTTGTCCTCACAGTTCTGCCCAGCAAAGCCTGCGCGGGACATGCAACAGTTGGCCCGCTCCCGTGCCCCGCCACCGAGGGAGGCAGAAGAGCTGGGCCCTGATCCCAGGGGCCCCAGAATTCGGGGCCCCACAGTGGGTCCCTCCCACACCCCTCTCTGGGGGTGCCAGGGAGAAGGGGCCGTGCGCTGGGCAGGGATCAAGGGCGTGGGGTGCCCCCAGCCCGTCCGCCAAGTTACCAATTAATCTGCTCCTGCTCAATGATCAACCCAGCAGCGGGCGGCTGCGTGCTGACTCACCGCCACCCTCTGGGCCTTTGCTCCCCTCAGGCTCTCAGGGCCTTCCTCAGGACACGCCGGGGAAAGTAAAGGCACCCTGGAGAGTGGCCTGGGTGCTCACTGCGGCCGCAGCCTGTCCCCAGAGCCTTAGGCAGGGGCAGGGGCTGAGGAATGCTCATCTCCCAGGGCAGCCAGCTACCATGACCCAGGGAGGCCACCCTCCAGGGCCCGTGTGGAAGACACACAGCCATAGAGGGGGCGCCTGGGCCTGAGTGGCAGCACAGCAAAGAGGGTGTTCCCACGTGGACCCCCGAGCATCTCACGGTGCAATTCCTGAGCGCAGAGCCAGGAGTACCCCTGGGCTCCACTGAGTGTGACCCGAAAACAGCAAACAATGACAAAGAAGTGAGGCCAGTGGCAGGGCGGGGGAAGCGAGGGCGGCCGTCCCTCGGGACAGCTCGGTGCCGTGGCTGAGGCCAGGCTACAGGTCCACACAGCTCTCCCACAGGGCAGTTCTTTCCAGAACAACAGCAGCAGGACTGACTCAAAGAGACCTGGGGGAGTGGCATGTGCACAGGGCCCCCAGGCAGCAGGGGCACCCCGGAGTGCTGGCGCCCCCGCTCACACCTGCCTCCCAGAACAGCAACATCAGCTCTGCTGCAGTTCCAGGAAAACAGAGCCCAGCAGCAACCACCCCACAGGGCGCCTACCCAGGGGGCTGCGGGCACAAGGGTGCCATCATTGGTTGTCCACCAGGTGTGGGAGGCCCTCACTGGGCCCCCACCTGGCCTGCCTCGTCTGCGCAGTGCTGCCTGCCCAGCGCCCACCAGGCGCCCCTTCCCATGGCACCCCCAGGGCCCACTGTGGAGGGAGGGGGGCGGTACCTGGCAGGCAGGCACACTCGTGGGTGGTGTCGCCCGTGGGGCGGCAGGTGCCACCATTCTGGCAGGGCGAGGGGCTGCAGGGCACAAAGGGCAGCTCGCAGTGGGCACCAGTGTGGGTGGGCCGGCAGGCGCAGCGGAAGGAGCCGACCTCGTTGTGGCACGTGCCCCCATTGCGGCAGGGTGCCGGGCTCTGGCTGCACTCGTTCACGTCCTGCCGGCAGGTGCGCCCGTGGAAGCCGGCCGGGCAGGTACAGATGAACGAGGCCTCGAAGGCCAGACAGCGGCCACCGTTGGTGCAGGGGTTGGAGGCGCACGGGTCAGCCTGCTGGCACGTCTTCCCTGTGGGCAAGGGCACGAGACCTCAGGGGTGCCCCCAGACCTGCCCCCGTGGCTCAGGGCCCACAGCTGCCACTGCCTCCCCCCAGAGCCCCCCACCCTCCCCAGAGCCCCCCAGCCTCCCCAGAGTCCCCCACTCCCTCCAGAGCCCCCCACCCCCCGAGACCCCCACTCCCCTCAGAGCCCCCCACTCTCCCCCCAGAGACCCCCCACTCCCTCCAGAGACCCCCTCTGGCACGGCGTCCCCTCAGCTTCCGGTGAGGCCACTGCAGCAGGGGCAGCCGCTCACCTGACCAGCCGGGGCTGCAGCGACACTTGTACTCAGAGAGCGTGAGCAGGTCACACGTGCCGCCATTGCGGCAGGGGTTGTTGAGGCAGGCATGGTCCTGGGGCGTCAGGCAGAGGGGTCCAGAGAAGCCCAGGCGGCAGCTGCAGGTGTAGGCCGGGGCACCGGGATGCTCGGCCACCAGGCACGTGCCCCCGTTCCTGCAGGGTGCACTGAGGCAGGGGTTGGGGTCCTGGCACCGTGGGCCCGCAAAGGCGCTGCTACACCTGTGGGTCACACAGCAGGGCGTCCCCTGAGCACCCCCACACCCTCAGGGTGAACCCGGGGCTCCCGAGGGAGGGACTGGGACAAGATCTTGGTGGGGGCCCGTGGGCTGTGGCAGGGGCTGGGGTCCTGGCACCACGGGCCCACAAAGGCGCTGCTGTATCTGCGGGTCACACAGCAGGGTGTCCCCTGAGCACCCCACTCCCGAGGGAGGGACTGGGACAAGACAGGGGCGCAGGGGGCAGAGTGCACAGCTGGACCCGGGGCCAGCCATCTGGGCAGCAGAAGAGCCAGACTCGAGGTGGCAGCCCCTGTCTTCTGTGCGCTGAGTCCCGGTAGCAGGTGTGGACCCCTCAAACCCCTGCTCAGGTGAGCATGGGCTGGCATGTGTGTTCCTACAGGACGAGGAGCCGTAAATCGCAGCCGTAAATCAGGACGCCTGCACGGGGGCTGTGAGACCTGCCAGGCGGCTCCCTTCCCAGCAGCTGAGCTGCTGAGGCAGAACGTGACTCCAGCCCCCATGGTGCCGCTCCGCTGGGCAGGCTGGTGGGGGGGCTCGGGGGACGCAAAGCTGCAGGGCAGCCGAGGACGCCTCAGGACGTGGGGGCTTCAGGGTCCCAGAGCTGGGGGGGTCTCTGTCGCTGCTCCCACCACCCGGGAGGCAGCTGTCGGCTGTCATGACTTTTATCTGTGGCCATGGCTGGGGTAGGCGACAGGGACCAAGCAAAGGGGCCACTCAGCCGCCATCTGCTGCCAGCGCCACAGTCCCAGAGCAACTGGTCGGAGCAAACCGCCTCCCTCTGCAGGGTCGGGGTGCCCCTTTGGCCCTCTCCAGCTCTGGATCCAGTTACAGACGCCCTGGGAACCCCGTGGTGGCAGCCCTTCCCCCACGCCGTGAATGCGCCTCATTGTCAGGGCGGGTGGCCCCTCCCCCGGGAAAAGACGCTTTTCTTCCCAGCCCCCTGCACTGGCAGGGGTGGGAGGCATCTGCTCATCCATGTCCAGTGGGGGGCCGCCCCACACTCAAGCAGCCCCATGGGTGTCCTGACATGTCTGATCACAGCCACACTGGCCCCTATCCCGTGCACCCAGCACGAGGGCCCACGGGGACCACCTGGACACGCACCATACATCTCAGAGGGGAAGCGCTGGCGATAAATCCAACCCAACCTGCCTCGACAAAGGGCAGCACAGCAGGTGCAGCCTTGGCGGACGCAGCAGCTGCTCCGGCAACGCCAGGAAGGCGGGGCATGGCCAGGAAGGCTCCCGGAGGGGCGGAGGGGTTGAGAGGCCCATTGTTCCCGTGGGCTGGCATGGAGGCATCCTGCCCCTGCACTGGCACTGCCCGGAGGGGGGCACGGGGGCCGCCGGGCAGTGCCCCCACATGCCCCTCAGCTTGGCTGTGCTCCCGCCTTCCCGAAAATTCAGCAGTTCCCTAAGACTCCGTCCTGCCCGCTGGGAGGCCAGGGCTAAGGGGCCCGGGCCTCGCTTCCCACCCACCGCGGCAGGTCAGGTCAGAGGCAGGTAGCACAGGGCCCCAGAAGGGCCCCCTGAGTCATGTCTGTCCTTGCCGACACCCGGCCCCTCCGTCCTGCTCAACATCTCCACTCCCCACCCCGCTCCCAGGCGCTCCAAAGCAATGCAGGCCCCAGAGCATCAGAGGCAGATGGTGCCTCGACCTTTCACCCAGGGCTAATTCCAAATTGTGCTGTTTTCCTTTCTAAGTAAGCAGCCATCTGCCGCCCCCGGGGGACAGATGACAGCTCCCCCAACCCCATGCAGGGCAGGGACTGAGCAGTGAGCAGTCAGTGGCTTGGCTCCCCCTCAGGAGCCCCCCCCCCAGGGCCCACTCTAGCTGGGGAAAGCATTCTCAGGGGACTCTGGGGTGACGGCTCAGCCCCCTCACCCCCGGGGCCTCTGTCCCAGTGAGGACCAGCGCTCCAGGGGGCATCTGCCAGAGCCCCACGCACTAGGGCACACCCCGGAACAGGGCATGGGCAGGAACGCGTGTCCCAGCACCCAGGGCCAGCGCCCCCCCCACACACACAGCCTGAAGGGTGGTGGAGGAAATCACTGCCCCTTTCCCAGGTGTTTTCAGACCGCACCTGTCCTGTGGCACTCGCGAGGGCGGGGAGGGCAGGGTGGCCCCAGCCCTGAGGCCCCGCCCACAAGACCCGCCCTCCGCGAGCCCCGCCCACCGCAAGGCCCGCCCTCCGCGAACCCCGCCCACACCGGCCCCTGCGCCCCTCTGCGCAGACTCCCACCTCCGCGCCCACCCCGGCTACCGCCAAGTCCAAAGTTTGCCTGGAAGTGGTTACTCACAGGGCAATAAAGGAGTGATCTCCAACCAGACCCCCAACCCTATGCCTGCAGGCTCGGAGCAGGCCAGCGCCATCTGGGGGTCGTGGGCCGCTGGGGCTGGGGACTGCTCCCTACCTCCCAAATCTCCCACGTGACTGGCAGCCCCACCAGCGCCCGCAGCCCACCAGGACAGCCCAGGATGGTGGGCGTGCTGGCAGGCTGGGGGTGGCTCATGACCCCACGGTTTAGAGGGGGCGCTGTGACCTGACGGAGCGTCCGCGACATCCACCTGTATCCCTGGACAAGTCAAAGCTCAGGGCTGACTTGTCCTGGGCAGGACCCCGCCAGATCTCCCCAGATCCGGGAGGCCTGGGGAACTTTTCACAGGACAGTCGGGCTACAGGGAGGAAGTCGCAGGAGGTGCAGGGTGGGGGTGGGCCAGCGGACTCCGGGGTGGGCCAGCGGACTCCAGGGTGCCCAGCACCGTGGGGAAGCCGTCCCCACCCTTTCCAGCTGCCAGGCTTGGGGACCCTGAAGGCGCCCTCCAGCCCACTTCCTTCAACTGTCAGGCTCCAAGCTGGGGGCCGGCCAGGAAGGGCTGCGGCAGCTGGCGGGGGAGGGGGCTGTGGTCTCCCTGGGCTCCATAGGCGTTGGGCTGGAGCAGCAGAGCCACCAGGGGGTGGCGGGGACCTGGGAGCTCCCATTCCCAAGCCGTTCCCAAGCCGCATCCCTGGAAGCCAGAGAATGTGCAGGAAGAGGAAGTGGTTTGGGAAGCGGCTCCTCTCCGCGGGGCTGGGGGTGCTCCTGGGACAGCACCTTCCCACCAGAGAACAATGCCCACGGTGGCCCATTGTCCCCGCAGGCAGGCATGCCCACCCCCCACGTGGGAAGCGGAGGGAAAGTGGTGAGGCCCTGGCCGGCCAGTCTGAGGACAGCGCTGCCCCCAGCCTGAGGCCAGGCCCGGACGTGGGCGGCCTCTGCCTTCCTTGGAGGGCTGCGGAGACCAAGGAACGGCACACAGCGCTCAGTCCCCAGATCTGGAAGGAGGGACGGTGGGGAGCAGGGGCACTTCCTCCCGACTCGGCCAGAGCACAGCCAGCACCTCTGCCTCCGCCTCTGCCTGCTCCAGCACCCTGGGGGCGGGGGGGGGGGGGGCAGAAAGCAGTATTGCCCACAGAACCCCCTTCTCACCCACAGGTGGATGCTCAGAGGTGGTCCCTGCTACATGCTGGCATCAAGGACCCCACAGGGAAGCCCCTTCCCACTCACGCTCGGGCTTATTCACTGGGTCACCACCCCCGACACCCCTCACAGCTCTCGCTGCTGCTGCCCCTGTGGTTGGGGGCGCCCAAGGGTCCCCCAGCCCCTTCTGTGAGTGGGGGATGTGCAGAAGGGGTTTCTCACCTGAGTGCTCCCCAAAACACGGGCTCCCAGACAAGGCTCCCTCTGCTCCACCGAACCCTAAACCAGGGGCTGTGGGGGGCTGGGAAGGCGGCAGCTGACCGTGGGGCAACCCCACCTCACACACCAGCACAGCAACAGGGCCCGGGAACCCAGCAAGGCCTGAGAGTAGAATTAGGGGGCCTGCCAGGAGGAGGGGACGCTGCACCCAGGGCCGGAGCCCACGGTCAGCTGGGCCCTGGGCAGGGCTGTCGTAGCCACAAACCACTTCCGCGAGGGTCAGCCACCGGGGGCGAGCACACGGTGGGGCCCAGACCCTGAGTCCACCCGCTGCCTGTCCCCTGTGCCGCCCGGCCGGCCCTGGCAGGGAAGCGGTACCTGCTCGACCAGCCTGAGGCTGAAGGGGAAGCCCCCACCGTCCCTGAGGGCCCTGGGCTTGACCCGGAAGGCCCAGAGGTGGAGGTGGCAGCCGTCCCAGCCCTCAGGAGCAGGGGCCCCAGGGGACGGAAGCGCGTCCCCTCACCCCTGCCCAGCCTCTTACTGCAAAGCTGTCGGGGAAACACTCAAGGCCTCTCCCAGCCGCGCTTCCAGTAACCGCGCTGTTTCCGTGCATCACAGGCCAGAGGAAGCGTGGGAGGCGCCAGTCACCCCCTCTCCACATGGCCTGGCCCTCCGGGGTCCCCCTGTTGCCCTGAGGGGAAGCAGGGGGTCCCCGGAAGGAAGGGCCGAGTGCCCAAGGGGCTCCTCCGCACCAGGACCTGCCTCAGCGGTGCCTCCAGACGAGCTCAGCCCTCTGAGCAGGGGGCTCAGCCTCCAGCCCCCGAGAGGGGTCAGGACACCCACAACACTCCAGAAAACACATTTCTAGAAACGCCCCCGCGATCCCACACCCCGAGACTCGCCCAGAACACAGCCCCGTCAAGCCGGGACTGCAGGCACTGAGGTGGTGGCAAGCGGGAGGGAGGGCCACCCGGCCCTGGGCGTAGGCTGGCAGGAAACATCCCCGGGGCTGCTCTGGTGGGTGCCCCTGGGGGCCAGGCCCCCAGCCCAGCAAACCCAGGCTCCAGGCTGCTCAGCCATTTCCCCACCCTGCGTGCCCATGGGTAAGACGACAACCAGTGACCTGCAGGGGGCCAGGGCTGACGCCCAAGGGCAAGGCTGCACATTGGGGACACAGAACATTCTAGAACCACAGAGATGGAGGTCCCAAGAACCTCCAAGCCCCCACTGCAAACGGCTGGGCGGGTTTGAGGAGGCAGAACTCCCCACCAAGACGCTGTCCGTATACCCAGCCTGAGACTGCAGCCCCCAACCCTGGCCCACCCCAGAGGTAGTGAGAGGGGCGGGGTGGACCAGCCTCGGGTAAGGACGACACACGGGCTCCCCAACAGCAGTGGCGTGCCAGAGCCCACGGGAGAGCCCAGACCGGCAAAACCTGCCCTGCCAGGTAACCTGGCCCACTCCGGGCACCGCACCCCCTCAGCGCTGCCCACCGGTGCCACCTGGCCGCTCACAGGCCCTCAGGGCCACAGGCCTGGTCCCCTCTCAGGGAGGGGTCCAGCCCTGCCACTGTGGGTAGGCGGGACGCCCCTCTCCATCCCCTGCAGGAAGCTCCAGGCTCCCCCCACCCTCCCATTCCTGGATCACTCCCGGCTCCGTGCCCTGGAGCCAGGCGCTCGTTAAAGCCTCTGGGAAAGTTATGGAAAGTTCTGGATGCGTCTGCACATGAAGGTGGACGCTGACGCGAGCTAAACTCACCTCCCCACCCAGGCGCGGCCACTTCACCGCCTGGCCTTGGCGGCTCCCACCCGGAAATCAGGCGCTCCCAGGCAGCAGGGCTGTGAGCCGCACACTGGGACCCCTGCACAGGCACGCCACCTGCCCTGCACAGCCGTGTCCTGTCACTGGGGACGGTACTCTGAGGGACAAAGAGCGGCACTGACCGGCCCCATGAGGAGGCAGCAGGCCGGCCCAGGGAGCAGGGCTGTGTCCCCGCCGAGGCTGGCCGGGAGCCACTGGGCCGCCAGCCGCCCCTTCCTGCTCCAGCCTGGGTGTCTCTTAAAAACATGGTTTTTTTTTCAGTGGAAGCACACTGGCTGCGCCTCGGACGGGGTGGCCAGGAGAAGCCCCTTCCCCCAGCGTCCCCCCATGCCGGGAAGTCCCGCTGCAGCCTGTCTCTGAGCTGTGTGTGACCTGCAGGTGACTCAATGGAAACAGCCGACAGGTGACGGATGACGCGGCTGTCCCAGCCCCCCGCCAGGAGGGCAGTCACTTCCTGTCAGGGGGAGGCTCCCCTCTGAAACGGAAGTCAGAGCCCCTTGCTCGCTGGGCAGGGCCGGGCCGGGCAGGCCACAGGGGCAGCAGTTGGCACGTGCCCGCCCAGCAGGTCCCAGAAGAGTGGCGGCCTGCACCCAGGTCCTCAGCATGGGCAGCGCCTGCCGCCCGCCCGAGCCCCTGGCTGACCCGCTGGGGGATGAGGATCCTGAAACCAGCACAGTCAGCTCGAGGGAGCAGGGGAAGTGAGCCCGGCGGCCCGCGAGCGTCAGGAGGCCCCCGGCGGAAGCCCCCTCGGCAGGCAGCTGTACTCCGGGCGCTGCTGACACGGCCTGGCCACCCCCGACACACTGGGCCTGGGGAAGGCTCCTGAGGGGCGGGAGCAGTCACTGAGCGCTGGCACGCAGGTGCCCAGCTCCAGCCAGTCCCGGGGCCATGCGGGGCCGCGCAGGCCTTCACGGGGAGTCGGGACTTCCTGAGGGTCATAGCTGCAGGGGCCACACCCCAGCACCACCCAGGAAAGGACAGGGCGGCCCCTAACCAAGAGGGAGCTCTGGGACCTCCAGCCCGCAGGAGCCCCAACCCTGCCCCTCACTGCCCGGGGACCCCCGCCAGACTGTCCCATCCACAGCTGGCCCTGCCTCCTCCAGGGTGCAGCCCCTGGCAGAGCCTTGAGCATGACTTCCGCTCCGACTCGTGGGTGGACCTGGGGGCGCACAATGGGGTCTCTGTGGGCTCGCTCGGCCGACTGCCAGGCCAGTCTGAAGCAGGTCTCGTCCCCAGGGGAGGGCAGGCCAAGCCTAGAGGCGAAGACCAGACGGCCCCTCAGCCCCCCAAGACCCAGCTCGGCGTGGGCATGGGAGAGACCGTGCCGCCCCCAGCCCCCGCAGCCTGGACCCCGGTTTGGGCAGCACTGAGGCCTGCCGCGCTCCGGCCAGGCCAGCCGCGCAGGGAAGCCACACATAATTAATCACACAGCACTAATCCGCCTCCCGACAATGGCCGCCCCGCGCTGAATCCCAGCTGTCGGGCTCTGAATAAAAGGAAACAAGATTTAGGGCATCAAGCGTCCGCGAGGCTTCTGCAGAAGGAGAAAGACCCCCAAAAAAAGCAAAAAAAAAAAAAAAGCAAAAAAAAAAAAAAGAAAGCAAAGCAGTGTGCATTCATTAGCGTTCCACAAAGACACAATGGCTTTGTCCAGCGCTGCTCCAGCCCTGCTTAATTGGCTTCAGTTTGGGGTGGGCGGGGCGGGGAAGGGCCTCGAGGGGGGGGGGGGGGGCAGGAGGCGCAGGGTTGTCAAGGGGATGAGGCCCTCAGCAGCTGGAATGGGCGCTCTGCCGCCTCGCCCACTCATTATCCCGCGCAGCAACCCAAGTTGAAGGGCAGCAGCAAAGCCCCCCAAGGCGGACAGGCTGCAGGGCCGGCCGCACCCCCCACAGATCCCGGGTTAGGGCCAGCACTCTTGGACACCAGCAGCCACTGACACCACCTAGAGGTCACGACAGAGCGGCATCTGGGCCAGCTACCTGCTGCCCACCTCAGTCTCACCTAAGGGTGTCACGCAGAAAGGGGGCGCGAGGCCTTGACTTTGAGATTCTCAGTTTCCTGCTGAGATACCACCTGCTCAGGGGGCTCATTTGCCCAGGAGAGGTCACTGCAGGGGGCGTCACCTGCTGGAGGGAGTCACCTGTGGGGGGGGTCACCTGCCCAGGAGAGGTCACCTGTGTGTGTAGGGTGCTCATGTACCCAAGAGGAGTCACCTGCCCAGGAGGTGTCACTTACCCAGGGGGCTCACCTGCCCAGGAGTGGTCATCTGCCCAGGGGGCTCATCTGCCCAGGGGACTCACCTGCCCAGGAGGGGTCACCTGCCCTAGGGACTAACCTGCCCTGGGGGCTCACCTGCCCAGGAGGGGTCAACTGTGTGTGAAGGGGTCACCTGCCTAGAGAAGCTGAGCCAGCTGGCAGTGAGGGGGCTGGGCCTCTCAGTAAGTGGTCCCGAGTCCACTCACCAAGAGTGTCCCTGGGACTTGCGGGGATTCCCCCCTCCCCCACATCCAGGCAGCCCAAGGTGGCCCTGCGCTGGCCCTGCAGTGAGCAGCGGCCCCACATGCGGCATAATTGTTGGTGATTAAGTAATTGGCAGACTCTGTCCAATAAAGGCAGCACGTGACGTGCCCAGCCTTCTGGGCCATCTCCAGAAGACAATGAGCCAGTGTTCTGTCCCGCGGACGGCGCGGCAGGCAGGGGCTCCCACAAAAGCGACAGGTCCGCCGGGCGCATACTCACACACAGGCCTCCGTGCCGTTGGCCGCCACTTGGCACTTCCCGCCGTTCAGGCAGGCCTCTCCGGGCTGGGAGCATCGCAGGCCTGGGGAGGGGCGAGGGAAGGGTCAGCGCCAAGGGCCCTCCGGACCCCCCACCTCTGCCTGTCCCAGGGTGAAGGGGGTCCCAGGAAACCCCAACTACAAGGAGCTCTACAACTCTGCCCAAAGTTCTGCGGTCAGCAATGGGGCGGGCAGACAAGGGCCGGCAGGTGGACAACGCAGAGTGGCCAGGAGTGGCCACCTGGAAGCCCTGGACAGACGCTCGCAGGCAACGCTGGCCCCCTCCCGCCCCCCACCCAAGCCTCGCGGGGCAGAGAGCAGCCAGCCAGTCTCTGGGATTGTCTGGCTGTTCAAACACGTTCTGCAAGGGGGCGGCGCTGGGGGCCGGGGGGCGCGGCCAGACTCCCGACTCGTGGGAAAATCCGACAGCTGCAGGCCCGCCGCCCCGCCCGCCGGCAGAGCCCGGCCCGGCCGGAATCAGAGCGGCCCATTGTCGCCGGGCCGCCGCCGGGGGACAGCCCCCGCCTCCTGGACACCCAATACCTGCTCTCTGGGGAGGACATCTCCGGGGACGCCCCCCCACCCGAGGGGCTGGCGACGCCCCATTCGAAAGGAATCGGATCTGTAGTTCCCGGGAAGCGCCCAACTCGCGGGCGCTCGCGCAGAACCCCACTTTCTGGACACCCACTTCTGATGGGGGGAGGTAGGACCACCACAAGGTCCCTCTGAGTGCCCCCTCCCGTGAAGTGGACAGCGGGGCAGCGCCCCCCACCCCTCTCTCCTTCCCAAACTCGAAGTGCAAAGCGAAAGTTGCGCGCGCTTCCCCCCGCGGGTGGGCGCGGCCCACAGCCCACCGCCCCGAGCCCGGGGCCCCACGCCGCGCGCCCCAACATCCGCTCCGGCGCGGGCCGGCGGCGACAGCGACAACCGGCCGCGAAAGGCAACAGGAAACCCAGACCGACTCGATTCAAATCGAAAACTCGCAGGCAGCGCGCCCGGGAGCGTCTGGGGGCCCCGCGTGCGCCGCCAGGATCCGCAGCCGGAGCGGGGTCCGCGCCCGCGCCCCGTGCGCCCCCGGCGCGCCCCGCCGCCAGCGCCCCGCGCGCTCCCCCCAGCCTCGTGCGCCCCCCGCGCCCCGGCCGCGCCCCCGCCCCGCCGCCCAAAGTTTCCGCGGCACGCGCCCCCCGCGCGCCCCCCGCCCCGCCGCCCGGAGTTTCCGCAGCGCGCGGAAAGTTGCGCGAGGGCGCCTACCTCGTGCGGCGAGCGCGGGCAGCAGCGCCAGGCAAAGCAGGGGCGCCAGGAGCCGCAGCATGCCTGCCCGCCGGCTGGACGCTCCTCTCCTCGGCTGGCCCGCGGACGGCGCCCGGCCGCGCACCCCGGCCCGTTCCTTCGCTGCGCTCGCGCCCGCGCCCGCGCCCGCGCCCCGCGCCCCGCGCCCCTGCGCTCCCTCCCGCGGCCGAGGCACTAGTGAGGCTCGGGGCCGCCGTGCGCTCCGCCCCCCGCCGCCCGGCCCCGCCCCCGCCGCCCGGCCCCGCCCCGGGCCCGCCCCGCACCGCCCGCCCCCGCGTCTCCCGCCCGCGCCGTGCCGCACGCTCCGGGGGCTCCGGGCGCTGGGGCCACTCCCGGGGACTACTTCTCTTGTTGGGAAGTTTTGTGAGGCGGAAACTTTTGTCCCGCGCCGCGGAAGGATCCGCGGACCCCGATTTGCATCTCAATAGCCGAGGAGGGGGGCGCGGGGGGTGCGCGGGACTGCCCGGCAGCTGGAGGAGCGGCCGAGGCCAAGGTGGGGACCCCGACGCCGGGACCCTGGCAGGAAGTTCGCACTTGACCGCGACGCTGCGGCCCAGGCCCGGGTGCTCCACCCCTGACGGTGACGGGGCGGGGAGAGCTGACTCTCAAAGCCGGGAAGGCGCTGCGGAGTCACCCGCAGCCCCACGGCCCGCCCGCGAGGTCAGGCGGGGCCGGGGCTGCCCCCTGGGAACGCACCTTCCCCGCAGCAAGTTGGCCCGAACTCTAGCCCCTTCCGACCTCGCTACCTGTTTGTGGCCCCCTGGCCCCGTGCTGCGGCCCCCACTATCGCGACTCTCACCAGTGACTGCCTTGGAATGTCCCAGTGTCCCCAGGGGCAGACCCTAGACCCAGAACCGTTCATTGGACAGCAGGAGGCTGTCCACCTTGCACCCGGAGCCTAGCGCCACTCGAGGGATTCTGAAGGGGTCTGGGTGGCTGAAGGGCACAGGGACACAGGACTGGCACCCACAGCTCACCGGGGACAGTCCTTCCCTCGGACACGTGTGCTGGACCCTGCGGGAGCCGAGTCCCACCAGGGTGGCAGCTGCTGGGAGCGAGAGCAAATGCTCTGGCTCAGGACCTGGGGTCCACCTGCTGGGAAGGAAAGGGGCAGCCCAGCTCTGCCCGCGGGCACCCCTAGGTACCCACCTCTGCCCCCGGGCCACAGGAAGCTCTTCTGCCCCCCCCCCCCCCATATACCTCACAACCAGGCTGAGGAGACCCTCCCCCAATCCGGAAGGGGCTGGGCTGGGCTGGGCTGGGGAGGGGGTGTGAAGCTTTTCATTCACAGATGAGTTCAGGCCCTGGGGAGCCACCCCGTCCCCTCTCAGCTGTGCGGGCTAGGGAGTTGGAGGGAGGAACAAGGGGGTGCTGTTGGCCAACTCCTGGGGGGGCAGCTGGGAGGGGCTTTGGAGAAGAGGAGGGGGTCGAGGCCCAGAACCCCATGGGGTGCAGTGCTTTGGCTTCAGGAAAGTGGGGAGTTCAGGTGCACCCCTGAACAGCCTGCGCAGAGTCAGGTGGGGGAGAAAGATACTGGGTACCTCTGAGCCCTGGCCCAGCCCCTGAGGCCCTTCCCAGATCCCACAGGGAGAATGAGCACCCCCCCCCCATATCTTCTGCATATCCAGGGTGCTGTGGCAGGCCCCGCTATGGGACCACACACATGTACACACACATATGTGCACATGAACACACACATGCACACATAGGCATGCGCATACGCACACACACACCCTCTCTGTGTCTGCGTGGGGCGTGTGCATAGCTCAGGCTGGAGTGTCCTGACCCTGGCACTGGCCACCCCTGGTTTCCGCACTGTGAGGCTGCAGTGACTGGCAGCGTTGGGTCTGGGATGTGGGTGTGGGGTGCAGGCAGAGAGCCCTGCAGGGGGAGGGCACCTCATCCCTGAGGGACTGGGAGAAGCTCCCAGGCCAGAGAAGGGGACAGGGCTGTCCTGAGCTGCCCAGTACTGTCTCCGGGGCCTCAGTTTCCCCTCTCCCAAGTGAGCCTTGCTGCCCTTTCCTGAGGCTGATGGGGGAGGCACTCTTCAATGGAGAAGCGAGAGGTGGCCAGTGCTTCCGGCCCGGTAGACAGCTGAGGAGCAGCCTCCCACAGGCTAGCACCTCCTGGGCTGCTTTGCCATGTGCCCTGTGCCCACTGGTGCTGGTCTTCCTCTCCTTCACCCTCACCTCCTCCAGGAAGCCCCTCTCCAGTTCCCCCTCCTCATGTCTCGGACACATGCTGCTGACCCAGGCTGAGGGGTTCGGGCAGGGACTGGGCTATGGGTTCTTGGGTTGAGCCCATCGATGGATGTCCGGTGCATTCCTCCCTCCCAGGTGTTCCATGCCTGTGCCCGCAGGGTTCCAGCTGCCACACGGCACAGCGGACCCCAGCGCCCCCCCAGCTGTGGTCAGAGCCCTGCTGGACAGCGTGGCTGTGAGCCACCTGCAGGGCCTGGAGTGGGCGGGGGAGGCACAGGTCTGCCACAGCTTTGCCCAGGCAAGTCCCTCACAGGAGCTGGGGGGCGGCCAGGTGTGGGTGCTGGGGACGCTCCGCTCAGCGCAGACCCCTGCAGGAGCTGCACCCACAGCTGGTCACTGTGCCCCAGGAAGGTGGCCGGCCTCCGAGGTAAGGCCTCCCTGGGAAGCGCTGACCAGGCAGGGGCACTGCTAGGGGAGTCTGTGTGAGCAGGCCGTGCCACCTCCCCCCACCCAGATGGAAGTTATGCACCTTCTGGAAGAGCACTTTCTGGAAGTGCGCTGAGTGCACGGGCACGGGCGCTGCCCCCTCCCGCTCAGGACCCCTGCCGAGCAGAGCCGAGGCTGCCTTTCGAGAGCCCCGCCCAGCCCAGCTCGGCTGCAGGCTGCAGCTTAGAACTTTCTCCAAAAAGAAAGCGCCCCGGGGGACGAAACCGCTGAGCCACGCCCCTGGGGCTTTGGTACAAACGGTACCAACTGGCCAGTCAGCCTGAGTCACGGAGAAGCCAGCCAGCATCTCCCAACTGTCTCCACTCCCTCTCCCCTTCCCACCTCCCCTCTGCCTCGGTCCACTCCTCCCCCTCTCCTTTCTTCCTCCATCCTCGCCTCTCCTTCCTTCCTTCTGTTTCTCCCTCCCTTCTTTCTCCTCCTTCCTTTCTCTCCCTCCTCCCACTATCCGTTTCTTCCTTCCTGCTGTTAAAAATAGCTCCGCGTTTCCCTTTTTTAAAAGTTCATTTTTGTTTTCACAAAGAAGAAATAGTCATTCCAAAGCAGGGTCCCTCTCGTCCCTCTGGGGCAGGACTTGTGGAGGAAGCAGTGTGTGTCTCTGGTCACCATGCAGCTCTGCCCCTCCTCCGCTGGCCTCCGAGCTCCCCTCCTCCGAACTCTCTGAGTTCCCAGGGCTCCAGACACATTTAAACATGTTCAAAACTTCCGTCCTCCCCCCTCCCACGGTCCCTGTTAAAAAGAAAATGGACTGGAAATGGGGTTTGGGTTACAGGGAGCGCGGGGTGCCTTCCCGAGCAGAGCAGCAGACATTAGCAGGTTCGGCACATCTGTGAGTTATTTTCATGTCCCAGGGGGAAGGAAAAAACTCCAACAATACTTAAGTAAGACCAGAATTCTTCCACGTTTTTGCTTTGACAGCTACGGAAAGTCTGCCAAGACCCGCGGCTCTGGAGTGTCGGCGTGGGAACCTGGGTCTCACAGACACTTGCCCGGGGTCATTCAAATGGGAACCAGCACCCTGGTGGCATCTGTGTGCCAGGCCTGGCCCAGGCCTGGGGGCCAGCATGGGTTTTGCAATCTGGCTGTCCTGCTGGGCCCTGCCGCTCCCTATCTTCACAATCAGCGTCTCCCTGGGGAACATTTCTATAATCATCTTTAAAGACCAGCAAGAAAGCTCTGGAGTCCCTGTGGTCAGGCTGCAGGGCCCCTCTGAGGGGCGGTGGTGCTGGCAAATCTGCCCCATGTCCCCTGCAGACCAGCTAAGCTGCATGTCTAGGGGCTCTTGGGAAGCGGTGAGGGTCAGCTTCGGTGGTCCCGGACCCCCTCATGCAGGCTGGCGTTTGCCTCCTGGATGGTGACTGGGGGGGTACACCTGCCCATGAGACTTGGGTGAGGACCTGAGTGGCCTGTTTGCTCTCGGACACCGTCTCTAGCTGGGGCAACACAGGGCACAGGACCCAGGGTACAAGAGCACGGGGGCACAGCTGCTCCCGTGACCCACCTCTGGCAACCTTGGGGACAGCCAGGCCACCTGGTAAATGTGCCCAGTGTCCCCCCCATCCTGGGCTTCCTGAGAGGCATCTGTCCTCTCCCTGGGGCCTCCAGCATGGGTTGGAGTGGGCGGGGGGGACACCGGCGTCTCTCCCAGCCCCACCACTCCAGCCCTGCAAAGCTGGGGCGCTGGGGAGGGGCCGGCCACGTAGCCTGAGCCCAGGACTGTCCCCCCACCTGCCCGTATGCCTGTCCCTACAGGTACCATGTCTGCCCCTCGGCCCCAGCTGAGCCCAGCCCTGGGGTGCAGCCCCTTCCTTCCAGCGAGGCTGTGAGGAAGCAGCGTCTCTCCCGCACACACGCCAGGAGGGTCCCCGCGCTTGGCCAGGCAGAGCCTGGGGAGGGCCAGAGGCTGCTGCCCGCAGTGGTCATCCTGCGTGCTGGACGAGGGCGGGCATTTCTCTGCGCCGCAGCCGGCGAGGGGGGCACCTGCCAGCACCTGCACCCCACCTGCTGGCACGTGGCTCTAGGGAGCTTCTCGCCGGAGCGGTGTAATGAGGCACTTCTGCCAGTTCAATTATAAAGCACGCTGACGTGCCACCACAGGAGCAGGCAGAGCACCGCCGCCCTGGGCCTCCCAGGCTGGGCAGTGCCTGTGGCCCATCGCTGACATGGCCCGGAGCTCTGGCCCAGGGCTGGAGGCACAGGCCCGGCTTTGGGGAGAGCACAGAGACGCCTTCCCACCCCAGGAGAGGACGCAAGGTCGAGGACATCGCTGACGTCCAGCTCCAGCCAGCTGTGCTAGACGTGACCGCGGGGACAGGCCCCTGCCTGGCTTGTCCCGAAAGCGCCTCTGCCGCTCTCGTGTCCCTTTGAACGGTTGTTTTGTTTTGCTTTTGGTGTTGGGGCTATGGCCAGCAGTGCTCAGGCCTTACTCCCGG